AGAGATGGGGTCTCCCTGTGTTACCCAGGCTGGTCTCAAACTCCTGATCTCAGACGATCCTCTTGCCTCAGCCTCCCAAAGTCCCGGGATTACAGGTGTGAGCTGTAGTGCCCAATCAAAAAAAAAGGTATTTTGGGAACAAAACAACTGAGGTAAGGACCCTGTCATTTAACTGCTCAGGCTTATGCTGACCCTCCCCCACAAAGTCACCTGCTCTCTCATTGTGTCTTCCTGTACCCAGATGTGTTTATGTAGAGCCTTCCAGAAAGATCACAGGGGTGCATTCCCGCCACTCACCTAAGTACATTGCCTGCCTGCCTTTCTTTTTCTTCTTCTTCTTCTCTCTCTCTGTCTCTCTCTCACATACACACACACACACACGCACGCACGCACGCACGCACACACAGTTGGAGTGCAGTGGCATAATCTCAGCTCTCTGCAACTTCCACCTCCCAGGTTCAATCCATTCTCCTTCCTCAGATTCCTGAGTAGCCGGGACTAGAGGCACCAACCACCACGTCCACCTAATTTTTGTATTTTTAGTAGAGACAGGGTTTCATCATGTTGGCCAAGCTGGTCTTGACCTCGGATGTGCCACTTGCCTCAGCTTCCCAAAGTGCTGGGATTACAGACGTGAGCCATGTCGCCCAGCCCGTACACTGTCTTTCAGATAGAAAACGCATTGGGGAAACTGAGGCACACAGTTGCAGGAAGTGGAGCCCTCAGCAGCCTGGAACGCCGGACGTCTGCTGTCTGGCCCTGGGTGTCACATCTGCCTCTGCAGCAGGAGGCGGAGATTGTGGCAGGAAGTCTGTGAACTGGGAGGGGGAGAGGGGGCCTGATGGGCCAGGAACGGGGTCCCCAGGCATGATGCTTGTCCTCCTGGTGCAGCTCTGGGGTGAGTACCTGGGCCTCCCTCCCCTCCACACCCCCTCTTGCTGTCATCCCCCGCTGACTGCTCCCCAGCTCAGAGCCCCCCTAAGCTTCAGTCTCTCCTCTCTGCCAGATAAGGCCATCTCCCTCTGAGGGAGTCTCGGTAATGAGACTCAGAACGTTACAGGGGCTGGAGGATTAAGGAAGCATCCTCTGAGGAGGCCCCTAGGAGACAGGCTGACCCTTGCCCTGGACACCGGCCTGGCCTGGCCTCTCTGCTCTCCACCCTCTGCAAGCCTTTAGCTGCCTCCCTTCGCTCAAGCCTGGGGGCCTATCTTTCTCTGTTTCCCCAATGGGAAGCCTGGATCCGACCTTCAGGCCTTTGCAGCTGCTGTTCCAGCTGCCTGATGCCCTTCCCGGATCTCATGTCTCCATCCTCGTCTGCAATTGCATCTCAGATGCCAGGAACTTGCCATAACCTCACCTTCTGCGGGGGTCTAACAGACACGTCAGACGCCTTCGGGCCAAAAGCAAACTTTCCACTCCAGCGGCACCTCCCTCTGTGTTTACAATTAAGGACAAAGGCCGGCTGGGCGTGGTGGCTCACGTCTGTCATCCCAGCACTTTGGGAGGCCAAGGCAGGCAGACCACAAAGTCAGGAGTTCAAGACCATCCTGACCAACATGGTGAAACCATGTCTCCACGAAAAATACAAAAACTAGCCGGGCGTGGTGGCGGGAGCCTGTAATTCCAGCTACTCAGGAGGCTGAGGCAGGAGAACTGCTTGAACTTCGAGGCGGAGGTTGCAGTGAGCTGAGATCGCCCACTGTACTCCAGCCTGGGTGACACAGTGAGACTCCCTCTCAA